AAACTTAAAATTTGCTGCTACTATTATTAGTGAGGATTTGTTTTTAAAGAAGAGCTTTTATTGTGGGGTAAATAAAAAAAAGGAAGTAGTAGCCTTTCTAATAAGTAAAGCCACGTATTTTTAGGAATATTTTTAGGATGTTAGCAAATCTTGATGTTAGGAATGGGGTTATGCTACATTTTAGAAAAAAGCTTAAGAGTGGGGGGGGGGGGAGGTTGTATCACACTCTGAACCATATTTCAGACTGAGCAAAGGGTCGCCTCTTTTGTGCACATCTTAATGAACATTCTTTGCAATGTAGCTAATAAATGAGAAAGAACCATAGGGCGATGGCAGAAATGGGACACTGTTAGCGATGTAGAGAGTAAGAACTAACTCTCTCTTGTGACATATGGGGCCATATCTTCTTACTCAGGCAAAGCTTCCACTGACTTCAGTAAGAGATTTACATAAGTGAGAAGTGAGTAAAGGGTACAGACGCCTGCTCCCCATTCAAATCAATGGGAATTTTACCACTGAGTTTAGTGAGAGGCTTAGCAGGATACAGGCCGGAATGCTCCAAGCAAGGGGTGATTAATGAATATAGGTTATTCAGAGCAGATCTGTTCCAATTTGTTCTCAGCAAGCAGTTCTGCTAGAAAGGTGTGATCTCCCCTTAAATTCATACAGAACCCCAATAGATGGTTTGCTTTAGTGGTTATTAAAACTGCCTTGTAGTGGGTTTTTTTTTCTTTAGTTGCAATCTAACAGTATTTCAGACAGAGATTCAGATACAGCCTAAGGAAGACAATGCATTTTAAGTCTGAAGTAAAGACTGATATGTTAGGTTCATGGGCAACGAAAAAGACAAGCCTTTTCTCGTTGGAGTGTGTACAGAGTATTTTTCCCTCTGACAATCTATTTCTTGGAAGGCTTTTCTTAGCTCAGTTCATAAAACCTTTACCTATACTGTGGGTATACTAAAACCAACCAAGCAAAACCCAGAAAGAGCAATGTTTCATTTGCTCTATCACCTCTTCTTGGCCTCAAAATACTATTGTAAACCTAGTAACTGCTTACACCTTTTCACGTTACTAAACTATGAGATCTGTTGTATTAAGAGGGTTAATGTTGTGCCACAAATTGATTGCACATAAGAGGGGCTCTGCATCTGTGCCTGAGAAACTAGCTGCAGTGTATTAGTTTAGAAGGTAATTTTAAATGTAAGGTGCTTATCAGTTTACTGAAAATATCAATACTTGTGAATTCTTTGGAATAATTCAGTCCCTAAGTGACCGCCATGAAAAATGTGGGCACTAATAGAGGTTTAAACATTTAAAGCAGGAGAAAAAGTTGCTATCTTTATGAGAGCAGATAATTTTCTAATCAGCCAATAGCAGCCAGTTTACCCTCAGATTACATATTAACTAGAATATGAAACTCCAATTAACCAGAATATGGAGCTTGAACCATTACTCAAATTGTGGTGTAACAGAAGGTCAAATGCTAAAGGGCACTCCATTGACTTCATGTTCAGGAGGAAGGGTGAATATAGAACAGAATTGGTTAACACCAGGGACCAGTTCCAAAGCTCCATAAAAGTCTCCCATTGAAGGGACCCATTCTGCTACCACTGAAGTCAGAGATTTATTTATTTGCCATTGACTTTAATGGGAGCTGATTCACTCAGAAATCAATGCTTGAATTCCCCCCTTGATGTGACTGTTGACACAACCTGTTGTGTTTTAAGGGAAACTCGGCCTTCCTGAGCAGAGCATGATTTAGGGTCCGATCCTGCAGTCCTGACCTGAAATCAGTGAGAACTCTGCCTGGGTAGAGTGTAGGACCCAACTCTGAGAAGTTTCTCTGAGAAACAGCTGTCTTAACCCTCCCAGAACAGAATTCTGGTGCAGTTTGCTGTGATGTTTTAATTCCCCTCTCTCCATATATTGGGGGTTGTTTTATAATTTAGAAGAAATTTATAAATAGTGTTGGTTTTATGAGCCTGAGATAAAGCTAAATTCTTGAAGCTGTAACATGCTTCGAGAGGCCTAAGTTTTTCAAATGAACTACAAAGTTAATCCTATTCAAATACTGGAGAAAACACTATGAAAACCTCTCTACTTATTCTGGGGAGCTGCTAGGGAAAGTAACTGTAAAATAACTGGGTCAATAGTTTTAGGAGATGTTCAAAGCTAAAAATGTCCTTTGGCATGCAGAATTATAGTAAAGAGCACACCTTTGGACCTTAACATTTTTTAGCAAATTAACCTTTTTGAGTGTTTGTTTAGGGCAAATAACTTGAAAGTCCTTTGATTTTTGATTTTTTCCCTCCAAAATTCACTGTTAACCTTTTAAGGCCTGTGGCTGACGAGAAAACCATGATGTGGAAAAGGGAGGGGAGGGAGGTTAGAATGGGGTATGCCAAATGTCAAAAACTCTTTATCTCTAGCACTAGATGAATATGTGACAAGAAAAACCTGATGCAGTGTCATCTCTTACTACATACAAACTGTTCTGCTTGGATCAGATGATAAGAGGATGTTAAGTCTTCCCTTTCACTTTACTCCATCATAAAACAATCAAAATATAGGACCATATTGTGTCATCAGGTTTTTCAGCAGAACTTCCCTTTGAGATCAATAGCTTGAAATTGATGGCACGATATGACTCATAGGAACTAAGGCCCTCTAAGTCATTACAAAACCTGAAAGATCACGTTTTTCACCTGCCTGACAGATAACTAATTTCTCGTGGGTGACAATTTTCCACTTTACATATAACTGGCTGCTAACTTCTCCTCTCCTTTATATCAGTGGGTTCAACTCTTGTATCAGCATCACTTCCTTACAATGTATTAGGCTTAGATACTGCTTTCATAGTTGTTTAACTTTTTAAACTACACACTAAAAAACTGAGTACAGAATCAAAAAAATGCAGTTTATTATTGTAGATTATTCTCTCTTTTGATATAACCATAAAGTTGAAAATGAAAGAAAAGCACATAAGAACATCACACATGGTTAGTAACTCAAGATATAAAACAATTTTGCACAGCAAAATATGTAAAAGGAAAAGTAACTGACAAGATTTTTTTATATTTATTGTGGTAAGATTTACTTTCCATTTTTTTTAAAAGACAGGATATCAGTCCCTGAAAATAAAATTTACTGGTTATTGCCTTTAAAACTGTGGAATTTTTGAAGTTACAGAAAATCCAGTTCTGCACCACAATACAACTGTAAAAAAATCTGCATCATCTTAAAACTGTGCAGTAATGCCATCTTTATAACTGCATAAATTGTATTAGCGTTCTAAACAGGTTTGTCTTTTTTATATATGCTTGCAGGTTATATCTTAGTGCAATTCAGTCCCAAATACTTCAATTTTGAAAAAAAAAATACATTTTGAATGTAAAATACCCCTATAGATATAAACAGGGGTGCCTCCCCCTTTTAATACTTTGGTTTTCAAATACAGTTAGTGGTATAGCAAGGACTACATATACCCAACTTATATTTAAGTTGCAAGCACATGCTGCATAAGCTACTCTTAAAAAACAGTCCCATTGCAAATTCTACCCCCCTTTACATCACAACAGTAAACAATTTAGTGCATCAATCTTCTTGTTTTTAAATCTACATCTAAACAGACCTAACTCTTTCAAATTTATCTATAACATTCCTTTATCTGTAGCATACATTTTAACTGGGCTTACAGATCATAAAAACTAGAATTAAATTATATACTAGGAACCCAGAGCATTCACATTTGACAATGACCAGATGCAAAAGAAAAAAGGAAATAAACTTGGGGCAGATCACATAAAAATAAATTTTAGACTGCTTTAGGCAACAGCATGGTTTTAAAGTCCCCAAACTGGGAAGCGATTTTTAAAAAAAAAAAACACATCATCTTTCCAAAGTTCTCTCTCTCTTTTTTTTTTTTTTTTTTTTTGCCACATTAGGTTATCAGAATCCATTCTGGCATTTTTTAAAACAGGGAATGCTTCAGTGCATTTAAAAGGAAGTCTGAAGTTTTGAGTAACTCAAAGCAGTTTTAGAGCAGACACAAACTTTAATGGGGAGGAAGAGGAGGAGGAAGATCAAAGGTTGCACTTTTTTGCTTTCAACTCAAAAAAGTGATGAGGCAATAAAACAAAAGGATGAATGCCATGCCATAATAGTCTCCAAAAGTCCATTTCCAAGCAAAAGAAAAAAAATAATTATACCCTACATGTCCAGCATGCAGGGTGTTTTATTAATAAATGTCTCTTTTTCATAGTCCATTGTTGCTAAGACAAAATAGCAAGCATAATGCATGAGATGAATATGGGATCTAATGGCAGACTAAAAGTCTCATGTTTGGCAGATTAAGGCCAAAACTCACATGAACACACTGAAGGCTGATGCAGGCTTGATTTTGGCAGGTTGATCTAGGTACATCTCTAGTTTATCACAACGCTAAAAACTGATGGAACTCAGCAAGCTGGAGTCTAAAAAATTCACATTGTTTTTGTATTTTTTTTTGTTTTGGGTTTTTTTTGTTTGTTTTTTTGTTTTTTTTTGCAAAGCTCAAATCTCATATGAAGAATTCAGGATGGCAAAAAAAAAAAAAACCTTTGACTTTTTTGGACACAGCAAGGTCAAAAGAAAAAAAAAACTCATGAACTTAAAAAAATATAATGTGGATGGCAGGTTTCAAAGAAGAACAAACTTCATATGAAGAACTGAGTTGGTGGCAAGTTGGATCTTATAATGTTTAAAAAAAAAAACATTGCAAGCCCCCACAAAAATAAAACAGAAAAGAAACTCATGTAGAACTCTAGGTTGGCCAACAATGAGCCAGCCCCACCATAAAAAAAACAACTTTTTTGTTGTTGTTTTTTTGTTTTTGTTTTTAATCGTTTCGAGTTTAAAAAAAAAATATAAGGTGGCAAGCTTGGTTGTTGATCTAGCAAGCCCCCAACAACAACTCACATGGAGAACTTTATTTAAGGTGGCAAGGCTGTTGGAACTCACATGAAAAACTCTGGAGAGGAAGGGTTGTCGCTGCTGGATCCGTTTTCTCTGAAGCCATTGCTGACCAGCTTCTCATATTTTTCCTTGTAGGCGTCCCTCTCCCGGACCAGCCTGGAGATCTCTTGCTTTAGGTGCTCTACTTGCTGCAGCAGCTGGTTCTTCTCTGACTCCAGGACGTGCCTTTGCTGGACCCTCTTGAAGCGACAGGACTGGGCATAGCCTCTGTTTTTGAGGGTCCTCCTCTTCTGTTTCAGCCGGATCACCTCTTCCTTGCTCACCCCCCGGAGCTGCCTGTTCAGCTCCCGCACCGACATGGTCACCAGCTGCTCATCCGAGAAGCGGTCGTCGAAATGCAGGCCGCTGCTGTGGTGCTGGTGGTGCAGACCCCCTCCACCACCGCCGCCTCCCCCGCCGCCGCCGCTGCTGCCGCTGCTGCTGCTGCTGCTGGACTGCACGCTGCCCGGCTGCTGGTGGTGGTGGTGCCCCGCCGGGTGGTGGTGGTGGTGGTAGTGGGGCGCCCCGTTCTGCGCCGCGGCGGCAGCGATCACCGCGGAGACCACGGCGGCGGCGGAGCCCATCTCTTCCCCGGGCATGGAGCCCCCCGCGCCGGCCGCCGCGGCGGCCAGCTGCTGCCCTCTAGCATAGCCATCGAAGCTGCTCTGGAGCTGGTGGTGGCTGCTGTTGATCAGCGCTTCCACCGCGTCTTCGGGGCTGAATCCCAACGCCTCTGGGTTGAGCTGCTGCGGGTAGCCGGTCATCCAGTAATAATCTTCCAGGTGGGTCTTCTGGTCCGTGCCAGAGCCCGGGCTGGGCGCCGAGAAGCTCGGGGAAGGGGGCACCGAGCTGCAGGGCGTGCTCATCGGGGTGGAAGAGAGCGATCCCCCAGCGATCAAGCGGCCGCACTGGCTGATAATGCGATCGGTCTCCACCGGCTCCTTTTTCACTTCAAACTTCATCAGATCGAAGTCATTAACATATTCCATGGCCAGGGGACTGGTGGGCAGGTCGGAGTTGCTCATTGCCAGTTCTGATGCCATCCTTTTGCTGCTGACAGTCCTCCAGAAAGGGTGCGCACCAGGAGCGAGGGGACTGCTCTGAGTTGCAACCGGGTGAGCCAGCTTGATTATTTGCAATATATATTTTCCTTCTCTCTCTCTCTCCACCAGCCCCTTGCAACCTTCGCTCCAATTTGCACCGACTGTTTGTCTCTCTCTCTCTTTATTATCCTTTGCAGAGCCTATAGTATTGATGATGCATCAGAGCGGGTTGCTCTTTCTATTCGCCTTTTGCGTAAAGGTTGTTTCTCTCTCTCTGTTTTTGCAGCTTTGCAAACTGCAGCTGGAGTTGTTAGTTGTTGTTGCTGCAAAGGTGGCTTTATGATTATTTTTTAACACTTCATGATGTCTTTCCTCTGGTCTTTTTCATGCAAAGTGCAAACCGAGAAGAGGTTCATCGGGGAAGGGGAGGAGAGGAAAAAGACGGAAGGATAAATTTTAAAAAAAGAAAAATTAAAAGTCAGCGCGATAACCAAAATATTTTTCTTTACCAAAAAAAAAAAAAAGAAAGAAAAAACGGAACCCCAAAGCTACAGCAAGAAGATGAAAAACATTTTAAAGGTCTCATCCAGCAGTAGAGTTTAAAAGCATTGCTGAGTTTTATAGCAGTCCTGACGTCAGCTTTCAAATGGGAAATTGACTCCAAGTCCGGACCAATGGGCTGCTTCAATCTCAGCCCTCATTAGCATAATAGTATAGAAACAAGGAAACTTTTCGAAGCTGTCAATCAGGGGCCAATCAGCTGACTGTCAGCTGGGGCTAAACTTTTAACTCTTTCTTGGCCATATCCTTGTACTCGGTTTCACATGGGCTTAATGTTTATTACCTGAGTTAAGAGAGAAAATATTTGGGAATTCAGTGCTTTTTTTTTCCTTTTCCTTTTTTTGCCTTGTTTTTAATAGGTAAGCATAAACGTAGCCTGCTTAAAACCCTTGCTGTTTTCTCTTTCTCTGCATGCCACGCTTAAGCATTTATATGTGACAGCTTTGGTAGGTAACTTGTTTCTTAGAGTGCACGTTTTTTAAAAAAATAAAATAAAACTGATCCTACCTAAACCATCCTCGGGCTGAAGGGGTAGGAGGCCTCTCTCTTGCCGTGGGGCAGAGTCGATAGAGAAGCACAGGGACTGTCGCTAAAAGGTGGGGATGGGTGGCGAGGAGAGTCTGGAAATGGGGAGAGAAGGTCAGTGTAAAGATAAGGACGTGCTCTCTTAGGGGGCCAGACACCTTTGGAGATATTGGACTAAAGAGACTGACGCTGGGTCCCCCCACAGAGAAACCTTCTTTCAGTGCATGGTGCTGAAGGAAGCAAATGAAACTCTCGTTGCCCCCTCCCCAGCAGGGCTGCTGAAGCCGCCGCAGCGGCACAAAGGCTGGGAAGAGTTAACTCCGTGGAGGAGCTCAGCGAAGCCGAGGTCCCTCCTGCAGACTTCGGCCACGGGGTGGCCTTTGCCTCCTCTCTCGTGCACACGCAAAGTATAATCTGATCTCCGCCTCGCCGGGGTGCGGGCCACTTGCACGCTCACGTGAAAGCGAATAACTTTGTACTTGATCGTGACATTCAGCCCTTCCCCCCCCCCCCCACGATCCTACACCATCATGGGGTTACACGTTCAGCAAAGCCGCTTGACACCCACCCAGGGGCTCCCCCTGTTCCCACTTCAGTGCTAATAACGACCCCCGGACCGATTGCTGTTTGACCTTGTGCAAACAAATCCAACTAAACTCCAGTGTCCGCTCACCGTCTAACGAGAGGCAAGTTTGGGAGAAGAGATTTGGATTGGAGACGCTAGGAAAGATCTGTCTCTATCTATAAACGCAGCGATTGTATGCAGAACCTCGGCGGCGCCCCTTCAGACGGTTGATCTGTTTAATTCATTTGATACATTTAGAGCTAATTATATTTATTTTATTTTTTTTTTGTCGTAAAAACTGAAAGCAAAATGGGAAGGAGGAGTGAAAGCCGCGGTGGATGTGCTTGGTTTAAACCTCGACAGCGCCACCTTTCGGCAAAGGTCGGTTTAATCTTGATCCATGGCCAGTTTTGTTGATCAACCCGCTTTCTTGTCGTGTAAGTGCAGAAAAGTTTATGTAGCTCATTAACTCTGCCATTAACTCTTACAGCGGTGGAATTCTCGTGCCTGCCAGTCAGGCTGTTCACTAGGCTACTGCAATAAAGACAATCAAGTCACCCTATCTAAAGAGCTGGCTTTCATTGTACTTCTCAGTTTAACCAAGGGGGAAAGAGACAAGGGGCTATGCTGGTAATGTTTCTGCACAGGGCCCTTTTGTGGTATACTGAAGTAAGACCAAAAAAAAAAAAAAAATCTTAAAAATTGCCAGCCTTGATTTTCAACGGACTTTATGGCAATACCAATAGAATTAAAGTCACTTGTAATTCAGTAATAAATGAGTTGTCTGTGGTAAGTAAGATTAAGTGCAGTGCTATAAAGTTGTTTATCTGAGAAGTAAGTCAGAAACCTGACTTCTGACACTTAGTCATACATTAAACCAGCTTATTGAACATTGCACTTCAGAACCTCTCTTCTTCCCTTGGCCTTCCCACTCTCCTGCCTCTCATACTTTGCTATTTATAACAATTCCAAGAATATTACTCCATATTTTTTTTCACCAGTTGTGGAAATCATCATTTTCAAAAGACAAAGATTCTCCGCCTGGGAAGTAGAACATGGGTAGTAGGCTTACAGCAGATAACATCTCGTGATTATGCCAATATGATTATCAGCTCCAGCATTAGTATCTGAAAGTCATATAGTGTACATTGCCACTGACACTTAAAAGCAGTTTAGCATACCATAGATCTGTAAAGATAACTCAGTTAGAAACATTTTCTGTAACTATTTTGACAGCAGAACAATAACTATGGATATCTGTTCGGCACAACTTATCAATTGTTATTTGTGGCAAAGTTAATACAACTTAACTACTCAGGCTTGCTTTCCTGCTTTTGACATTGTTGTACTCAACAAAAGTCACTGGCTCCTAGCATAAATCTGCAAAGGATAATCCAGTTTCCTGTGTTTGGTTTTCTTCTTGAGCAAGATGATTGTGGTACAGTATATCACTTCACGTTCTCACCTATTAGACAAAATATGTGTTAATATTTTTAAATGAAAAATGTTACTGCTTTTCAGAATTTACAATTGTAGTATTTCACTGGCCCATTTTATAGATGCCTGAGGAAATACATTGTCAGACCTATGAAATAGTTTGGACATGAGGATTTAATGTGCTACATTTGCAAACTAGGAATTTTACTGAGTACACTCTAAACTATAGACAGAGTATGAAATGGTATTTGCTAATAGGCGCTGTTTCTGAATTGGTACCAATGTAAGCAAGTGCTGTAAATTAATCTGGAGCCCTGACCTGCTAGAACATCAAGTAAAATTATTGGTTGTACAATATTGTCCTTGTTTAACTATTACATACGACTGCCACGCCAAAATGTCTATTGTTCAGCACACTAGAGAAAAAAGATTAGTAATTTTTGATAACCTTCAAAAGCGACACCCCCTCCCAACACCCTATAATTCTCATTTTTATAGTATTTTTCTTTATTATTTGGCTATTCACAATGGGTGTCTAAACATTTACAGTCCTCTATTAACAGTGTTTCTTTCATAACAATCGCACACTTTCATTTCAATTAGAGCTATTCAGCCTTCCGTTTCCCACAATTATTGCAGGCCAAAATCTCTCAGACTGCCCCCTTTTCCTAGCACTGTTTGTTATAATCCAGTCGTAATCCAGGCAGAGTAAGAACTATATGGTTCTTTTAATAGTCTCTTGATATCTATTGCTTTTCGGAACCTCTGCTAATGTAATTTAGAACCCTATTTTCACTAGTTATTGACCAGGTTCATAAGCTTTCCCAAATGGATGTATATTTTCTGTAAGTTTTTTTGGGGCGGGGACAAACCATAGAGTCGAATGTGAAACATTAAACATCAAAATACACATTAATTGGGTTACATTGGTACAGGAACTTCAACTGTGTATTAAGAGCTTTCCTAGTTAAGTAAAAAAATGTGTCTGTATGTATGTATATATATTATGTATAGAAGGTTTATAGGAAAAGGTAACATGCAGATTATGAATTATATTGACTTTAAGGGTAATTTGTTATAAATGTAAACAAACACATATCAAGGACAACACATTAAGTACAGTCACTGCACCTTTTGTTTATCTAGTATCTTATTTTATGGTGCAGAACTAAACAGTGTCCACTGAATTTAACTATGAAACCAACCAAATTGATTTCAGAAAGACTTCCTCAGAGTAACAGAATGATAAGCCATAAACTGCTCTTAGGTGCACTGCTAGATAAATCCTTTTAACAGTCTTCAGATCAGTTAACAGGGTAAGTAAATCACAAATCACTGTTAGCAGATTTATGGGAGAGAATTAATAGAATCAGACAAGATAATCTGATAGGGATAAAATTGCTGAGGAAACAGTCCTGCCTTATATTCGAGGACATGAAACAGTCTGATTACTAGGAGTCATTACAGATAGGTGAATTATGAGCTAAATAATCAACATAGTAATTCAGTATTTATTAATTCTTTTCTCTTTAAAGAACTCACAGATGCAAGCAAAAGCTTCTCTTTGAAGATACATTCTTTCTATATATTTTATTAGATGTAATTTACTATTTGCATTACCTGTATTTACTTCATAATTGAACATTTTGCATTCAAATTTATGTAATGCATTATGCTTGAGAATATATTTCTCCCTTATTAGCATAAATAGTCACTTACCTCATGAATTACTAACAAAGTTTATCTGAAAATATAGGTATATTTTTTATTAAGTGGAACACAAACATATGTACAATAAATTCTGATTTGCTGGTGCTGCTAAAGAAATATATAATCCTGGGCTGGGGAAATGGGTGAGGTGTGTGGGGAGAAGACAGCAAAGGAGTAGAATCAATTAATGCTTGGGTATGACCATTTGTACAGTCAACAATTTTTTTATCTTTAATAAGGAGTTAGTAACTGAAGGTCTTCTTTCGAAGCAGCCACTGAAAAGAAGTCACCAGACAAGAGTTCATAGTCTCTTTTTTTTTTTTTTGCCTTTTTCCTCCCCGCTAATCTTTATATGGATCTGTATAATCAAGATGTATGCCATGATTGTGTTTTGATCCTGCAATCTTTACTCGTCAGAGCTCCAGTGGACCAAGTCCAGCTCCAACTGAAACAAACAATTGAATGGGAACCACTCTAAATTCACATTTTTATCTTCTCTGCTTCTTTTCTGCATTTTTCTTTAAATGGTCTTGTATAATCCAGATAAATCAGTATAATTTAGGTTTAGTTCTGCAGTCTTTATTCAACCTTACTCAGGCAAAACACACTTATTGATTGCAGGATTGGGCTCTTGATCCCATTGAAATCAATGGCAAAGCCTCCATTGATTTCAGTGGAAGCAGGATTGGGCCCTTGACATGTGCAGTTTATTTATGTCAAAGGGTTGGTGTTTCAGAAAACGAACTGAATCAGCAGACCCACTTTAAGGAAAAAAGGTCTGTTCCCACTGAAGTTTAAGGCAAAACTCCCATTGATCTTAATTACAGCAGGATCACTCCCATATTCAGGTTTTTATCACCCTGCTTGATATTGTGTACTAATGTGCATGTATGTTTTGTTTGGACACACAAGCATGGCCGCCTGGGAGCATTCAAATGAGTCTGTTTGTAAATGTGGTACAGCAAAGTATTCTACTTTTGCCTCTCTTTCTCAAGCACTGTACAATCCATTTCTGTGACTACAGTTTTCTGCCCCCTCGTATCTCTGAAACTGGTCTTTTAAGGCTGAGAAAAATCTTCCTTTTAAACTCACGCTGAGTATCAACTTGGACTTCACTTGCTGTTGAACATCCTGTATTCTTTCTCCCATCAGTTCCTAGTAAATTTTATGTGGAATTCTGCATTAATGAATCCTGCCTCTCCTCTCATTCCAGTGTTGTATTCATGCTGCTGACTACACCATTCTTGCACCTTGGAAGATCATTTAAAGCTGGATAAAACAAATAAGATTTGTTTTCTTTTCCCATAAAGTTTCTTATTTGGCCAATCTGTGTAGGCCCTTCATTCACAAGCTCTGTTTATTTTTCTTTAAAATTTTCATTGCGAAATAAAAAACAGCTTGTAAAGTCAGGCTAAAAATACATTTTCATTTATTTTGTGTAGTGCTATTCCTTTCCCCCCTTATCTCCCATCCTAGATAGTCATATTCCTTGAGCACTAGAAATTATGAGGTATTAACAGATGCTTCTCGTTTATTCTGCCAACGTGCATAACACTCTCTAGGCAAAGAGCTGGAGCACCAATGCTGTACCTGACCATGTAAGTATGTGCCATGTATTGGGAGCCAGAATTGTTTATGTGATTTAAAACAATCTCTCGTACCAATCAGTACTTTTTCAGCATGCTTACAATGTTCCTGGTTCTGTATTAGAAATATTCCTAGATTACTGATAAAACTAAAGAATTTCATGGGATATGGGAATAATTTCTCTTATCTAAAGGGAAGGAAAACACAAACATGCAGTTGAAACTACATGAGATTGCAAGGGGTAGCTGTCTGTACATGTTTTATGTTGATTGTTCATAGCTTGCTCATTTTATGTACACTTTTGTCTCAGTTTAAAAATCAATATAGATATTTATGATGGAAATATCCATCTAAAAGAAATAAATACTTGAAACAAAGATTTTTAGCCAGCTGTGTAGAGGAATTTATCATTTATAACTTGAACCATTAAGTGAAGCTATATGGTATTTACACTGAAATCAACGGAAAGTGATAAATACAAAATCCAGTGAAAACTCATGCACAAAGTTCATTTCAAAATTCTACAGAGACAAAGATAATATCAGTTCAAAGGTGGGAAATGAAGGACTTGTGTCTGGCAAAGGATATTTGAAATGTCTCAACAATCTAATAAATGTGTACACTGTATTTATATATATAGTCAAGAAGTCAGTCATTTGCTACCTCCTTTGTACTGTATTAAGATGTTTCAACCCACATTAGGTAGCATTGACAAAAGCTTGCAATACTGACATGAAAAGAGTGAGTTTTATTGGACATTTCTTTCAGGAATTCAGGTGTCACTAATAGGGGGGGAAAACATAATTGGGGTGGTGGAGTTTCTTAGCTGTTAAGGGATTACCTGTTCTCTTTTATTAAAAGATCTGAACTTGAGTGAATTTTAAACAAATCTCTGTTTTAATGTCTTGAAATTAGAAATGGAACAGCCTGATTAATTATTTGTGATACACTGTCTTGTGTGGGACCTGCTGAGCAGCCTTCGTTTGGCTTATTCAGCATAAATAATAAAGTACAATAATTGCTCATAGTAAATAATGTAAATTTCATAGTAAATTTCAAATAACTTACAAAATGCATAGCTCCACTTATGTGTCATGAAGGCTCATTACAATACAAAGTGGCTGGTTTGCCATTGCCTGTCCAGCTGTTTATACCAGGGCAAAAGTGTGAGGGCATGTGTAAATTTTACACCCACTCTGCACTCTTATTGCCCTTGTGTATCAATGACTGCACAAGGTGCAGGGAGCAGAGAGCAGGTCTAAAGTGCTTTATGGCACACTGCACAAGAGTGAATGGTACTAAAATAGTGACAGACCCTGGTCTAGTGATGAAAGCTGAAGATTAGAAGTCAAGTTCCTTGGGTTCTATCCCTTGCCATTGACTTAGGGTAAGACATTCACAACTTCTGCTTATCCGTCTATAAAATGGGTATAATACTTACCTAAATTGCCACAGTGCTGGGAGGTTTAACGTTAGCTTAAAATCTTATGAGACACCCCACCCGCTCAGATGGAAGGTGGGGCACATACGAACAAGGTTTTATATCAGAGTTTAGATTGACCAGCATGTACAAAAAATACATACGGATTTTACATTACCTCCAATCCTTAATTATCCCTATGGGTGTGGCATGTATCTTCTGAGCATGTTTTGGGCATTAGGAGGTATAACTGATACTGGGCAGTTTTAGGACTAACAACTCTGCCCACTGAACTGAATGGAGTTGAGGGTTAATGATGTGAAGCCTGATTTCAGTATGTAAAGTGCCCTTGTTGGAATGGTCTTCTTGACTGTGAAGACACAACAGCGTCGGTCCGAGAATCTGGCAGCTGTACTGTTTTCACAACATATGGAAACTGTACTTCTAATAATTCAGTTACATTTCATTTGGTTTGATATTTTAACCTGATTTTGGAGGGGGGGAGCTATTATTCCATAGAGATTAAAATAACCTGTAATGTGCTGTATTGCTTTTTAAGGTCTTGATGCAAAGAAGCATGTGAATATATGTTAGGTGATCTGATTTCCTTTGGTGTCATTATTTAATGTCTTTAGCAACAATGAAAAGGAAACCCAAGATCAGTTTTTCCCTGCCCTCCCTCTTATGAATTAGCTTGCTGTCATAGGAGTTCTAGACAAGATTCAGTTCAGATTCGCTTCCATCTGGAACCCATGGCTGTGCAATAACTTTAATCCTTAACAAAAAGGAAATGATAGAAAAACCCATGAAATTAATTTTCACACCTGCAGTTGGAATTAATAGTGGCAACCAGAGTGGCATCCTATTTCAGTTCCCTGGAGGTGACTAACAATCCTGGTCATTAATAAAATACCAACCAACATAGGAATTTACCATCTGAGGGTTCTGCCATGAAAAACAAATGATCCCAAGGTACTCCTGCACAATAGAAAATGGCTTTAGTCATGTATTAGTCATTTTATCACAAGACTGTATTTTTGCACTAGGGGTTTGTTCTCGGATGTTAGAAGAGAATAGATTGGAACAACAGTATTTGTCTTGGTAATTTGTAGGTAGGTTTTGATTATGTTTAAGCTTTCTAACATAAGAAGGTTGGTGGATGATTAAGTGCAAGAAACCAAATTCTGCAAGTGTGTTTTATTTTTGGTGTGGCTCTGTGGTATTTTATTTCTGTCCAGGCCTAGTCAGTCTCTGCATGCATGCGACATGAGCATTAAAGGGTGGCACTTCCACTTTGGCTAGATAAGAGAGGAGGAGGTCTGCAAACTAAAATGCTGTTAGAAATTTTATGCATTTCTGCTTTTCTCTCCTAATTGCAAGGGATGAGATGCATTGAGTGTCTGCTTCATGGCTGGGAATCACCGTCCTGCCACTCTGCAAGTTTCCAGCCTATCAAAGATGACATGGAGCTAGCAAACTGTAAAGCTAAGCGCCTGCACTGTGGCTCTGAACTGCATTCAGAAGGCATTTGCTTCCATTCTTGGAGCAGTAATAGCACTTCAAGAGGTCACAGAGTACATAGGCACTTTAATCATTTTGCAGAACCACCTTTAGGTAAGAATTAAAGCTTTTATCCTATTGTGTTTGTTTAACCCTTCTCTAATCGATGTGCCTGGTTTGTTACAAATGTCTGAAATGAAACCAATTTCATGTTTATTCTATTGATACTAACATAGCTTATGAAAAGCAAAAAGCCATCATCTTTGCCCAAGGAACCACTCGCTCAGGATATATGGACATTCATAGGATTATTTACACATCTGGCAAACTCCAGGTGCCCTACTGCCACTTCTGAAGACAAAGCCTAAGTTTGTTTAAAAAACAAACGAACAAAAAAAAAACAAAACAATCCGCCAAGTAATCAATAGGTTAAAACCCTATTTAAGCAGCAGCCCAGAAACACACGGACACTCCTGGAAGCTGAGGATGAAAATCAGTGTCAGGATTTCTCCAGAAATCTGGGAGAATGATCCTTACTAGGGTTTGGGAATAAAACAGTTCTTTCAGACAGCAATAGTAAATTTGTGCAAAATGGGCATATGAGGCTCCATTATGACCGTTCTTATTACGAAGCACTGCTGCAGGGTTTATCTGATAGAAAGATTTAAAGATTGCCTATATTTATAGGTGGGGAAAAAATTGGAGACCTCAGCTAATTTTCTTCCCTTCCCTTTGGAACATTTAACAAGGGATCACTTACAAGGATCAGGTACCATATATAGACCCGATATCAATTTCCTGTAGAGCAAGGGGCAGTTAGGACAGGAAGAACTGAAGAGGGAACAACTGTGTTTCTACTGTCTTGTTTTCTTTGCTTCTAAGAACAGAAGGTGATTCCAAGCATTTGAGGAAGTGTTGTGGTTCACATAAGAAGAGATAAGTTAGCAAGAGTGTTTTCTCCCAGTGTTTGTTCTGAGCACAAAATCCCCGTCAGCAAAGTGACTGTCTAATTAAGGTGGTGTTCCAGATCAAAAGTGGTCCGAGTCTAAAAAGATTTCATTTCCTGAGCAATAATCCTGCAAGCCCAACCTAAAATCTGAATACCAAGCTGCCCCTAACACCATCACCTGGACTAAAACTTTGGTGACGGGAACTGAGCTGTTGCTGATACACAAGAAGTTTGCCTGAGTTGGGACTGAGTGAAAGTAGAGTAAGCACTCCAGGATTTGAAGTCTTTAAACCATGATTTGAGGACTTCAGTAAGCTCAGACATAGGTGAGAGATTTATTGCAGGAGTGGGTGGGTGAGATTCTGTGGCCTGCATTGTGCAGGAGGTCAGACTAGATGATCATAATGGTCCCTTCTGACCTTAATATCTATGGATCTATGATTTGGCCCTTCAGCCCTTTGTCTCATGGGTGGTCCCAGTGAATTTTGGGGGGGGGGGGGGGAGGAAGAGGGGACTGGTAAAGAGGGGGCTCGCTTAGCACATTGCTGGATTGCCTGCTCCAGTTCAGCTGCAAGGCATCAGGTAGAAGCAAAGCAAGAGCCAGATACTCCAAGGTTCCAGGCTGGGAGCAGTCTCCTTTATCATCAGTCCAGGGTAATATAGTAGGGATCAAATAACTGTAAGGTTTACAGGCTTCTCAACCGTGCAACTTTCCACCTTACTCATGGACCCAACAGAAGCCTTTCAAAAGCTCAAAGGAACCTGCTTAACGGAGGGTACGTTTACACTACCAAAGACCCATAGCAGCAAGTTTCAGGGCCCTGGTCAGCTGACTCAAGTTCCTGCTACTGGGCTAGAAGTAGCAATGTAGACATTCAGGCTTGGGCTGGAGCCCAGGATCTGAGACAGTCCCCATTCACCGGGTCTCAAGGTCCAGGCTCCAGCCCAAGCATCTGGCCCAGGCTCAGAGACTCCCTGCCATTTTTGCATGCACCCCCGCCACACACACACGGTTATAAACAGAGAATTACCAGCTGAACTCCTTTGTCTATTGCCCATACGTAAAACATTGAAATACGTGGGTTAAAGGACATGTGTATGAGGAACAGCAGGATGAGGTTCTCACAAAGGTTTAGGGTCAGATTTCCCTGGTCCCATGGTGAGAGGAGGGCTGTATACTGAGGGATACCGAACCCCACAACTCAGCTAAATCAGCAGGAGTGTGTGCCCTCAGCACTTCTCAGAATCATGACCTTAAACATGGCCATAGAATCCCAATTAGCAGAGTTCTCATCTCCTTTATATGCACATCCTGTACTTTACACCCAATCATTGTGTGCTTGTACAGGGCCAGCTGAGTGGGATCCTGGTTATGTCTAGAGTAGTAGATACTACTGTAATACAAATTACTGATAAAATATTTAATGTACAGTCAAACTGAGGTTCCTATACTAGTCCCAAGACAATAGCTCTAGTACACCAGGCTCCCCATGGCTGAGCAAGTACAAGCTGTGTTAGGATTTCCTGAGCTGGAGGTCATTTTGTGCATATCTGATATGCACCGGGTCAGATTCACTAATATTGGCATAAATTTCAGCTCCCTGTTCCAGGAAGTGCCCTTGTGCCTCAGCTGAGGAGGAGGTTTACCTTCAGGGAGAGCAGGGAGTGTTGTCATTGCCTCCTTGCATCAGGGCTCCAGTTACGGGAGCAGCTTTATAGTTTCTGAGCGAAGCTCTTGCTGGTGGAGACTTAGGCGGAGCTAGGTAGGAGCTCTGCCCACATCTCCTCACTAAGTGCCTGTGCCTTCCTGCCCAATGGAGGGAAGTTACAGATGTTTCCTTCTCCTCCAACCTTCCCTTCCCCATCATGGGGGGACTTTATGCCTCCAGGGTCTGTAGCTGGCTATTTGCTAGCAGAAGCCTGAGCTGAATCAGGCCCAGCTTCCTTTGGAACGTCTGCTTCCTTTGCACAGTCTCCCCTCAGGCCTTCACTGCATCCAAAACTAGGTGGGACAATTTGTAGAGCAGAATAATTAGTTCCTGTCAGGTCAGTAGGTGAGCTGCGTAATGCTGCTGCAAGGTTCTTCCTGAATGTTTCCATGTTTGTGGAAATGTAATGAGGCACAAAAGGGAGGTCAAAATATGAACTTAAGTCCCTCCTACATCCTGGAAGAATGACATCCACCTTTTCTTTCATGAATGTCCAGTGGGTAAATATCATTGAAACTTCTAAGAGTAAATGAATAACATCTCTAATAAAGTCTCACTAAAGTCATTCCAGTCATGGTCAGTTCTAAGCAGAGTAGAGCATGCAATGAAAGTGTTAGAGACCAGGCTGTGGGCAGTCTTGTCTAGTGGTTAAAGAAAGAGTTCAGCCTACCAGTTAGAGCCTGGATCCAGGGTGGCAGAGTCCAGGAATGAGCCAAAGGTTAGTATCAGAGAGACAGGAGCTGAATCCCAGAGCTGGAGGGTTAACCAGAGGCATAAGCTAGGGGCAGGGCCAAGGATCAGTACCAGAGAGGCTGGAGCCAAATGCCAGAGCCTAAGGGTCACCCAGGATTAGCAGAGAGGCAGGAGATGAAGGGGAAGTGGGGCTGGAGCAGGAACCTGAACAAGGGCAAACATAGCTGTAGGCAAGATACACATTAAACAGCCAGAGAGCTACCACTGCTCCTGCTAGGCTTAAAAGCCAGCCAGCTGTCCTGCCTGACCAATCAGGTGGTGCAGTCAAGTACCCTCCTGCATTGCCAGGAGACCAATTCCATGGCAGGCCCTGATCCTTGACAGAGTGCTGCATCAAGACTGTGATGATCCCCATCAAAGATGGACAACTGTCCAGGAGCCTGTAAATCTGAGGGTTATCGACTTGGACTAGGAATGAACCTTTCAGATGAGAAAACACTCTGATGGAAAACAAATTGCGACACAAAAGACCAGATTTTCAAATGGCAGTTCTGTAAATGCCGTGCAGGGTTTTTTTTGCTTGTATGCCATGATTGCACGTACACACGGAGGATTCGGTGACCAGTTATGTATTGAGGTGGTCAAATATGCAAATATCTTATTTACACATACAGATGTACTTCATGTGCATGGAGATTAGGTGCACAAGTAATCATGTGCACACATTTGCTTTGAAAATTAGGTCATTAGTGAATAATCCATGGGAATTTAACTGAAGAGAAGTGAGAGCTGCTGCTGCCTTTGTAGTCTTCCTTTCTTTCCCCTAGAAAATAATGATGCCCTCACTCCCCTAACATTGCTACTTGCCATCAGCCATAATTATTATTTTCATTAGTTGTACTGTGGTATAGCTTAGTGGCTCCAGTCATAGATCAGGGCTCCACTGTGCTAGGTGCTGTACAGACACAAAACAAAAAGATGATCCCCCCTGGAAGAACTTACAATCTACATTTAAGACAAGAGACAACAGATACAACAAACAGACAGGGAGTGCAAGGAAACAGGGAGGCACTAATTTCCTGTGATGTGATCTTGCCAGCTCTGACATGGTAAACAGGACTGAGGTGGGTCGTCAGGATGTGGATGGGAGACCTCGCAGGATGAGGAGCTGATGTTTCAGTAGGTGGCGCTCATGCCTCTGAATCATCAGTATTGAACCAATGCCCCAGCATGGGGCTGGAGTCGCTGAAGCGGATTTTGGGATTACAGGTAAAACCAAGTCTCTGATCTCTTGTGATCAAAGAGTGGCATGGCACTTTTTTTTTTTTTTTTTTGGCAAGAGTAAGCACATTCTCAGTATCCCTGCCAGATCCCAATTCGGGTAATGGCATTCCGTTTGCCTAAATTCCCCCTGCAGATTTAACTGGATATAATATTCTTTTATATTTTCTCTCCTAAAGTGCACTGTTAGCAGTACCTGTGTTTCAAACCAGAGGTGGGCAATATGTCTCCCATTCATATGGTCCTATCATATGGTACTGCTCTCTCTCTATGTCATACACAAGCATGCTTATATGTAAGATAAGATATGTAGGAAAGCGAACCTGGGACAAATATTAGCCTCTATAATGAATGCCCCACCAGGAAGCCAAAATACTGTTTCTAAAAAAACCCCTCAGTTTCATTTCTTGTAGGGTAAAGCAGAAATCAGCTTTTGACCCTGTGCAACTGCCTTTCTGCGCTGAATTGCTGTGCCATGGTGC